CCTGGAAGCTAGTGCTGAGTTGAGCAGGGTTCGTGGCCCGCAACAAAATTTCAAAGATGGGTTGTGCTATATCGTGTAAATGGAAAATGAAAAACGGTCTCATCAGCTGCCCAGTGGCGTAGTGGGTAGCACGATTGCGTTCCGCCCATGAAGTCCCGGGTCGATGGATTCGCACTGCCGATGAGACCCAACCAGGCCGAAACAGCTGTCCAATGCTTCGAGCTTTTCAATTCACGCTTCATTTGCTATTTACACGACGAATTCCAATTTGAAATTTAACCAACTCCTCCATTACCCACGTGAAACTGAGTATTCATCAGCTCATCAGGGTTTTCAATCTGTTTGAAAATGACATAAAAGATCACTAAACTGCCTAAATGTATTTACTATCGTAGGATCTATATGGTTGTAAATTTGACTACCAGATGTGAACAATAAGCTGTTTGGGGGGAACTGAGCAGATCGAGGATCGCGTTGCTTTCGGCGCCCTGATTTTTCCGTGGTGGTGTTAGTGGTTGCCACACGTGCATGTAGCAATGGGGAAGCTGCAGCTGTACCATTGTCATTCGCAGTCTTCATGCTTCGTCTGTTCTGCCGTACACGACTAAATTCACTATGTAGTTTTTTGAAAAATATGGAACCTGTACCTGATTGCTGTGTCTGTTGTACTTCTTGCCCAGCGGGCGTCACATCCAGTGTTGGGGAACCACATCTTCAATCACGAGCAGATTCAGATATGTGTTTCTGTGTTGAGGGTTCGGAAGTCACTTGGAATCATCCGTCCTCGGAAGGCAGGTGTTTTCAATGAGTCCCTATTCTGCTCATAGCGACCGTACCACAGTTTGCTGTTAGGTTGAACTGGTTGCACACTCAGCTCCAAGACCATTCGGGACTGAGGGAAGTATTACAGTGGTTTATGCATCTTCCATTGGTTGGGAGTCCTGAAGGGAAGAATCTTTGGATAAGGTTTTGTGGTAACATAGCAGTTGACGGTTACCGATATGCTCAGTCGCTCACCTCTCTATCTCAATCACATCTCTTCTCTCTTACAGATTCCATCACTCCTACCTATGTTTGTATGGTACTGCATATCAATAACAACCGATGGAAAGGTGTACCATTCATTCTACGCGCTGGCAAAGGTGAGTTTTTGTCTGATCAAAGCATGCCACTCTCTGGAGGCCCCTCCCGCCGTCGAATCAATCAAGCACTTGCAACTAACGTGACTTAAAAATTGCATTCACTCAACGCATGTTGAAATATTACACAGATAGAGATGTGAATGGACACAGGGACACACACAGGACCTTATCGTCCACCTAAGAAACTTGATCAATCGAGTGGACAAATATTTTCCCAGTAGAATGATCACAATATTGCTGTTTAGCCAATGAGTTAATTTCCGACCGTGCTGTATCGGGTGAAACTGCTCCGTAGATGCTCCGCACCGTTTTTGTCACATTTTCGCTGAATTCTAGAAATTCTTTATACTGACTTAGGATTAGCCGAACGACTAGCTTATCTTATAATACATTAGCTACTTGCTCCGATGAGCTGGACACCGGATCCCAATAGATTGGAGTTATCATACACCGCCCCGCTGCCTTGTGAAGCAGGCTACAGCTGACCGAAAGCTCCGATTGTGAATTCCCCAAGAAAATTCATCTGTCTTAGTTTGGGCAACCTCAAAGTATTCCGCTCACATGCAAAATCATGTAACTTTCTTTTATAATGGTTATTGTGCCGTGTTT